CATAAATTTGAAGTACCATAAAATGTAGTAGTAGTAGGCAATAAGGCTTCGAAGACCGATTTAATAGATGTGATATAATAGATTTAATGTCTAGACACTTGAATTTGCATTGGTGGAGACGTATAAATTCACTGACCTCATTAAGCAAGAACATCAAAAGAAAATCAAGATCTCATTCAGGGTTAGTGCAACACACACCAGAATTATATAACAAACAATCTATTCTGGAATAAACATCAGATGAGTAGGCTAGCAAAAGTTCTAAAACTAGTCCAGTCATGCAGAATACGATTAGAAAAATTTTGCTAGCTGGGTCAGGCACCCAGACCAGCATTGTTTAAAGGGTAACACACAGTAAGGAGAAAGATTTGTATAGGTTTGCGAAAATGACGTTGGTTCTGTGTGGTAACGATCAAGAGAGGATTTTCCTAATAATAGAAATAAATAAATAATAAACGCGCTCCAGTTTATTATGAAAATCGCGGAAAAACAATAATAGACGCCAGTATTAAAATAGCTGCCACAAATCCAAATTCAGCCCAGGCAAAACAATACATAAAAATTTTATTTGTTATTTCTGGATTCTGGAAACTCACTTTATTGTTTTGCTTTCAAACAATATGACTCACACTGTTTTGGTTAGTATTTTACGAGGAGTAAACCACTAGTGGAAATAAATGTAAATATTTTTTGGGAATCGCATAGTAATCAATCAGGAATACATGGAAATCACTTGGGATTTCCTGAGAATAACCTGGAATTTTCTAGGGCTCCATGGGAATCACATCATAGGAATCCATTGGCAATCGCTGAGAATTATGTAGTAATCGCTGGGAATATCATCTCATTCTAACCCAGAAATCGCATATCATACATTTCAAATGAGTTTCCCAATAACTGAGCCAATAACTGAACCCGGAGAGACTATGAAGACTTTAGAACTTAAAGAAGAAGAACGAGTCGCAATTCTTGGGATGAGAGTACAATGTGATTGCCAAATATGGAAATCATTTACATTTGTAAGCATAGTGGTTCTCATTGATATTTTATCACCAGGACAAGATTATCGAAAAAACTTCCCACAGGTAAGTCGTTTTGTTCTACTAATTAAATGCTGAAATATTCGTTTCTTGTTATATACCTACATGGAACCACAGATGGAACCAAATACGAACAAAGCCTTGACAAAAGACTATCCCATTACCCTAGTTTGAAATGTGATCCATCATAAAAAGCGAAAAAATACTACATAATCACGGCATATCAAGACAAGAATTCCATCTGCTATTATTTTTCTAAACAGATGTGGGGCTTTTAAGGTTTTTTGTTTCTGTTTTAGAAGATCAAGGTTGAATTGAAAATGAACCCAGCGGTTCCCAACCGGTGGGTTGCATTGAGTTTTTGGAGGGGTCAAAATGCCAATATATATTTTTCTGCATTTGACAACAAACACTAGCCTCCGCCTCAGTCAAAAGCCTCGCAGCGTTGTATTGGTCTTAAGGACGAAGGGCATAGCACAGGTTGTGAGTGTTGTGTTGTGAGTCGCATGTTTGTGAACATAGACAGAAACAGAAAATGTGGAGAATCTAAAAGAGAAAATTGACCTTCAATCTCTTGAGAATTAAATGGGCGTTATTTCCGAGTTATGTAAACAGAAAGCTGCAGTAGTAAGGAACCCGTTCCAAGCCTCGTTAGATGTTGCCGACGTTCCTGATGAAATGAAGGATACATTTGTAGAATATTTATGTACCTACCATACATAGTTCATATTCTTATGTCGCCCTGCTCATGCTATCTTTTCGGATACCTACTAATATCATTTGCCTCTACCAGGGTTGCCAGATAACTTTGAAATATAGGTAGGAAACGCAGCCTTAAAGGGTGTTGTCGACCGGAAATCGAGATATATTTCCTGACATTTTTAGAAATCGGGACATTTGGCATTCAATTCGTGAATCGGGACAGTTCGGAAATATCTCTAAAAATCGGGACTGTCCCGCCTAAACTGGGACGTCTGGCAACCCTGATTAGAGCCTAATTACGTCAAAATCGGATTAAAATTAAAAAAACGATCAGTAGGCAACAGTCGAGTAGTAAACGGTACTCAAATATGAATGATATATAAGGAATTTAATTTAGTGGTACTTTTGGTATCAATTTAAGTGGGTACTACTTTATCAAATTATTTCCTTTGTGTTTGGTTTTAATTGAATTATAACGTCCTACATTGTTTCTGTCTTTGTCTAACTCATATATAATCGCTTTTGATGTTTTTGCAATAGTATACTACTTTATTGTCTTTGTCTTACTCATTTATACTCGGCCTTGTAATATGTTATTTTCATTGGAATTCAATTGAAAACAAGTTTCCAAAGGAATTTATTGTTTTATAATCGTTATTTATTATTTATTTGATTAATTAAATTTAATTATTTAAAATTTTATCGATGTCATGTGGCAACATCGTTTTTAGTCGGCTATTTTGCAGTGACGTGTTTTTGTCCAGTTTTTCCTCAGATTTTTCACTTTTTCAAAGCGTTTTCAGTCGGGAAAACTGGGTGAAAGTAGGAGGCTTTGAGTTTTCTTCATTTTCCAACAAAAAATTCCAATTTTAAATGCCATAATTAGCAAAATCCCATTTAAAATGGTTTTTCAGGTTTGGACAGTCGGCCATTTTAAGTGTTTTTATTCATATTTTTTCTCGCATTTCCCGTTTTTTCAGCGCGTTTTTATGCCTCATTCTCACTTGCGCGAAATTCGCTCTTTTTGCACGAAATTCGTTCTTTTTTTAACATTGCTTCGACAATTTGACGTTTTCTGCATTTATCAAACGTCAAATTGTCGAAGCAATGTCAAAAAAGAGCGAATTTCGCGCAAGTGAGAATGAAGGCTCAAGTCGGAAAAACTGGTTTAAAGTACGAAGCTTTGAGTTTCCTTCATTTTCTAACAAAACTTTTCAGTGTCAAATGCAATATCTAGCAAAATCCCATTTAAAATACTTTTTCTGGAAGTTTTAATGTGGAAACACCGCTTGTGGCTAACTTCAATCAAGTAAGTAAGTCATTTGTTAGCTTTGACGTTCGGCCATTTTCAGTGTTTTTATCCTGAATTTTCTTCAGATTTTCCGCTTTTCCAGGTCGTTTTCAATCAGGAAAATTGGTTTTAAGTATGAAGCTTTGAGTTTCCTTCATTTTGTGCCAAAAATTTCCAGTTTCCCAATGGGGTAAGTGACAAAAACTCTCCAACAAGTTTTATCAAGTAGGCTTTGGAATGTCCTTTTTGGAGGTTTTTTATTTTGGATTTTCTGCTTTTCCAGAGCTTTTCTTTTTTGGTCGAGAAAAGTCATTTTCAGCCAAAAATTTCCGTGTTTCGCCCGCAAAAAAAATAATAACTAAAAAACAACTTTTTACGGAATTTCTAGTTTTAAAAATCAGTTTTTTCACTAAAATACGATTTTTTTTTAAATGGCAACACTGCTTTGTAGCCAACTTGGGTTCCAATCAAGTCGGCCTTGGAATGTTCCAAAGCCCTGAAAATGAAATTTGACAGTCGGCCATTTTGAGTGTTTTTATTCTGGTTTTTCCGCGAACTTTCCACTTTTCCGTGATTTGTTAAATGAAAAAAAGTGTTTTTAAGTGCGGGACTTTGGATTTTTTTCGTTTTGTGCTAGAAATTTCCATTTTTCCAAGCGAGGTGAGTGACAGAAACTTTTATTTAAAAACACGTTTTCCAAGGATTTTCAAGGGAAATTTATTATTTTTTGGGAATTTTCGCTTAATTTGGGGTTGTTTTTTTAATTTTTTGAAATTATTTTCAACATTTGACAACGCCGCTTTCCAGTTCTTGATTGGCTTTGAAATTCAAATTTTAATTATGCTCGACTCTTGATTGGTTTTCGCATTCATTTAATAAACCAATCAAAAGATGGGGATTTCCAAAAATTGAATTTTATCATGTGGCAACACCGCTAGCTCAATCGAGTAGGCCTTGGAATGTCATCAGTGTTATTTACGTCAATTTCAAATTGAAGCCGATCAAACAGAACTCTGCAATATTTAAGGCCTGACCTCATTGGACCGGTAATACAGAATCTGTAATATATATATATTTTTTTCAACCAAACGATCTGACATGCAGGGTTGCCAGATTTTAACTTTGAAAAAGCGAGACAGCGAATTAGGAAAAAAAACCAATATAGGTAGGAAACGCAGCCTAAAAGGGTGTTGTCGGCCGGAAATCGAGATATATTTCCTTACATTTTTAAAAATCGGGGACATTTGGCATTCAATTCGTGAATCGGGACGGTTCGGAAATATCTCTAAAAATCGGAACTGTCCCGCCTAAATCGGGACTTCTGGCAACCCTGGCCTCTACCTACTTTCGTGAAAGTGGTTTTTCAACTTTTTTTAACAAAAACTCAAGACCCCAAGAATTTCAAAACGCAAATGCAAGCTCAATCATCACATTAACAAAATAAAAATTGACTTTTTGTAATTAGTTACGAAATATTAATATTTTAATAGAGATTTTTTGTTTTTTATTTATCGAGGGGTCGCGACCTTATGAGCAAATCTGTAAAAGGGTCGTGACTAAAAACGGTTGAGAACCACTGATCTAATGAGAATATCCGATAAAATAAGGGTCATTTTATGAAGTTTTGGTTTTATCGACTTCAAATTATGACTGTATATGACGTCATTAGATACACAACCAATCAGGTTAATGAAATGACATATTTTTGAAAAAAAAAGGCTAAATTATACCTACTATGTTAATAGCCATTCGACAACGTTTTACGTACTTGTACGATCCTATAATAGATTTTTACAACATCAAGTTTATTGAATGCATTAGGTATACCCATGTTACTTTTCAAAATTTTCCATCTTATAAATCATCTCTTAAACATAAACCAAATAAAAACAACCCAAAACAACAGACCCGATTTATTTCCCATTGTCAAAACACATATGGTTTTATTTATTCTTTTGTAGACTTACCGCTGAGCAAGTGTTCCAAGTAAACGCATCTGCTGTTTAGGTAGTTCGGATCTCCGACGGTTGTATGCGTCGGCGTCGTTGGGGTGCTGCAAACGAACCCTGTACCGTCACCGTCGAGAAATTCGCATTTCTCCGTTGACGTGGCTGCCATCAGAGAAAGACGCGCTGACAGTTCTTCGACATCTGGAATAAAATTGAATTGTTAAATTGGTTAACATAATTTTGAAACAATGAAGGAAGGTTTTCATATGTGATTAGATAACTCGAAAATAGGTACCTAGAAATTCAACTGTCGGTGATGGAATAAGTTGAGACATGATTATCTTCCGATATTTTTGCTTAATAATCAAAAAATTGTTAACTCTTAACTCTATCAGAAAGTAATTTCCTTAATATCAGTAGAAATCCAAACATCCTCTTGGCAATCAAAGATACATGTATGTACACACCTACAGATCCGAGAATATAAACCTCATTAAAAAAAAATCGGTTCCGAAAAGCAAATATACTAACGATATCAATAAAAATATCCGGTGTATAACACCCAGGTAGGCCATTAAAATATCATCATCGGACGGAAACCAGAAGTCATAATTCATCTTTATATTTTCACGTTTTAATTATTATTTTTTTTTACTCTTTTGGTGTAAGACTATTAAGGGCCAAATTATGGACTGACTGCTAAACGTCTGGTTGTTACCTAGCAGGTACTTTCTATGCACTAGAGAATAGAAAGTACCTGCTAGGTAACAACCAGACACTTACCAGTTGGTCCATAATTTGGCCCTAAAAAGAATTATTGGGCGGGCAATAGCCAATAAATACAACAATATCCAACATAGCGGCATTTTGATGTTTAACATTTTTTTCGATCTGTATGAATAGCTTCAAAATTAACTATGTTTTGTCATCAAATTAAACAATGGTTAAAGACCCCCTGAACTCCAATTACATCATGGGAGACTATAGGTAAACTTTGACTATAGGTAGCTCCTCAGAATAAGAGACAAATTAAGCGAGCGAGTTATGAAGCACGTGTTCTAAAATTTGGTTCCAGAGAAAGAGCTTCAGCTTCAAAACCAGGAGAGAGAATTCATTCTAATGTACAGTGGATCTTTTCATTGGATTGTAGTTCTCTACTGGGATAAGAATTTTTGTCGAGATTTTGTATAGGTACATACACTAAATTATTCTCAGATTTGGAAGGCACTCAGAAAATTATGATGATGTATTGACCAATGTCACACCTGTCAATATTGACGGTTGTGTCGCATCCAACTAGGATTATAATTGACATTTGATCGACTGGTTGACTAAAATGACAAACGGAACACAACCATGTTCTACAAGGAAGGTGTTTGCAATAACTTGAAGTACCATCGTCACCAAAAGTATCTGGGACAAAAAAAATGCATAATAATCTCCTGGACTAATTCTACTGTCATTCATTTCAATACATTTAAATATAGTTTGACAAATGTTTGACAATAAAATTCATATAATAGTACAAGAGCGCTGTCCCAGTTACTTTTGGTGACGATGGTACATAAATATAAATGCTACTGGAGCTCTGTAACACTGTAACGGTTAGAGATCGTTATCGCTTTCGCTATGGCACTTGCTTTCTTTTTCTCTCTTGTTGAAATCAATAAGTCAATAGAGATGGAGAAAATATCTCTATTCGTTACAGAGTCCCAACTCATGGCTGTAATCCCATTGGTCGGCCATTTATCAACCGACAAATAGAATTATAGAACGGTAAATTTATCTTGCAAATATTTACCAGCAAGTTTATCTGAAGATGAATAAACCGGGCTTCAAGCCCTATGTACTTAAAGTACACATTGTTGTATAGAGTAGTCGAATTTATTGTCGTGCCTCGAGTCTTACTTGGATGTCGTGAGTTTAGAATGGATACTTGTTATTATTTGACAGGTTAGTCATATCAATTCTGTCAATTCTATAAACGTAGTTGCACCAACACAATTCAATCCAAGTTAAACGCAAAACCAGGCTTTTGACATCAGTTTGTCATGATAAATTGATCTCAAAAACCGGGTTTTGCGTTAAACGTAGATTAGGTTATGTTGGTGCAACTACTCCGATCTGAGGATATCTCAAGGAGGCAACCAATTCGGTCCTAAGTACTTTACAAAACTCTAATGTTTTGACAGTTTGTTAATGTTGAGACGAACTGACATTCGTACATGAGACATCGACACTAGAATTTGATATTTATGTGATATCAGAGGCGTCACCAAGAGCCTGGAAATGGCAAAATGTTTAAAGTTTGTCTCGTGATGGCAAACAGATGACGTCATCAGGTGGTTCTTATAGAGATTTGTATTATGTTTAGGCATACATGACGTCATAAAAATTATCTGGTTATTGGCGATTTCGACTACCGATGGGGGCGCTGGCGTTTGTGAACAAATATGGCGGGGAACGAGTAATATTTTGACGTTCAGCTTTGTATTTATATGCATTCGTATTTCTTTCGCTAATTTTCTCGTAGTTTTTTCGGTGGTTTTTTACTATATTTTATAAATTTTGAACGTTGTGACTTTCTTTTGTGCATTTCGTATCCATACAACACGAAATATGGAAAATGGAGGCCTGTTTTTGAGTTTGGCCACAGTTTTATCCTACCTGCAGACTGGCGTAGAAAGCACGATCACTATTTTTCTTAGGTAAATAATGAAAATGAATAGTTCTGTCTGCACCTTTTCGGAAATGGCATTTGTATACACAGCAGTTTGTGTTATGCTTGGACCGCTTGGACTTAGAGGCAGATGCCATTGAATTCCTGTATTAATGGCACCGCACAGAATCACAATAAAAGCTTTCCCTTTATTATTTCCCACTTTTCGACAGAAAACACGTAATTTAAATCAGGAACAAACAGAAAACATCGAAAAAGCAAGAAAATATTCCAATAAGTACCTACGGTATTTAAACAAACGATCTATTACTCTTTAAGTTAGTGCCAAATATTCTGCCAGGTGCCGCATTGATTTTTGAAATCGCCAATACAATTTTGAATAACCTTGATTCAAACCAAGGTTGTTTGAAAGAAGTAGGTTGCCTAAAAGTTAAAATCATTGGTAGAATTAGTGCAAAAAACATGTATTTCCGTCACTTTCTTTCACATACTAGTAGATAAGGACATGAATACACTCACTGCGCACTGAACTTATAAGATTTTCACGCTATATTTAGGATGACGTCACATTTAGTTAATTTTGGCTGCAAATCTGACAAAGCAAGTACTTCATAACGCATTTGAAGTTGGGGAATTTCAGATGTTTCTGGCTGGCAACGGCGCGCGATGTTGCATGATTTAAATGAACATTTTCAAATAAATAACGCGTGTCGATTCATTTCGTTTTTTTTTTTTAGCTGTCAGTGGTCTTGATAATTCATTATGACATTCTGGTAAATTATAAGAAAACAAATAGGTATTGACAACATTGTCAGTCCTTGTTCTCTGACGTCGTCCTAAACATAACGTAAAAAAATCTATACCAATGGATTTCACTATGAGAAGGTTGCTTTATAACTTTTATAACGTCATCTAGGGTGCCTCAACATAATGTAAACCTCCATAAGGCGCCCCAAATACGTCATCAAGATACTCATTACCAGACAACCTATTAATTAACTTTAGGAACCTTGATGCAAATCTACATTACGCACCCCAGATGACGTCATCTCTTTTCTATTACCAGACGACCAGGCAATCTAGGAATCACCTTGCTAAGAACCTTGAATCCAAACATTGAAATTCAAACCACAAAGGACCCCGCACATTTCTTATGGAAAAGTGATCTATGTGGAATTTTGCTGAATTTTTGATATTGTGTATAGGGAGTCGTCCTTAACAAAAGTGGTAATTGCGCTAATGTTCAATACCCAACAGTTTTCAAGATATCTATTAAAAACTTTTTTAATTTGACACTCTTCAGTATGACGTCACCAGTATGCTCACAGCACCGAAAATTAGAACTATCCTTTTCACTTTTGACTTTGACTACCTATACTTATACTCTTCTCCTTTTAACATTTAGGAAATAGAAAAAAACAACAACAGGTACAAATGAAATCGCTATATGACAGACATCATGACATGAAGTTGACGATTGCGGCAGGTGCTAGGTGTTGTTTACATACCTACCTATTTGTAACTAATCGCTATCGCTATCTTTTTTTTTTCTTAATGTTAAAAGGTGAAGAGTGAAGTCAAAGTCAAAAGTGGAAAGGATAGTAATAATTTTCGTTGCTGTGAGTGACGTCATACTGAAAAAATACATAAATCTACGCTTTCGTAAGTATTCGGTGCATTCGCTATGGCTTCTTTGGTTGCAAAACGTTTGATAAAATTAACAGAGTGATGTGACAGGTGCTGTGTTACCTAAAACTCCAGTAGAGGCAAATGGGGTCGTTAATTTAATGAAACTTGTTCGGCTATCACTTTTACAATCACCAAAGACACATCGCTTCATCGCCTCTCGATAAAACATATCACGTTCTCCCAAAACTGCCATAATTATTAAATTTAAGCCCAAAATTAATAACATTGACAATGCTATTTATAGGTTATGTGACTTTGTTTGTCGTCATTCATAATGAAATCTTCTATTGATATCTTGAAAACTGTTGGGTATTGAACATTAGCGCAATGATCACTTTTGTTAAGGACGACTGCCTCTACACAATATCAAAAATTCAGCAAAATTCCACATAGATCACTTTTCCATAAGAAATGTGCGGGGTCCTTTGAGGATTCAATATGACGGCAATTGTCAAGCATCTGTGATATTTTGATTTTTGAAGTTTCTACTTTTTTGTCGTTTGATCTCAAGTAACTGCTTCTGCCATTTTAAAATTCAAATTATGATGATGTTTTGACATTAGGCCGGCATACACACACGTTATTTCGCGCGGTTTATCGTGTCATCTGCAAAAACCTGTGAAAAATAATGTGCGTGAGTTAGGAGGTCTGCACGCAATGATAGAATGGGAAGGGATTTCAGACGTGCTTTCATCTGGAATGTGGCGTCAGTACTCAAGTACATGATAGTGCAGTTCACAACCGTGTCCATACGCCATTCCACGTCACGGTTTTGAGGCTAGTACGGAGACATAAACGCCGCGTAGCGAACTATCATGTTGAAAATTAGTAC